TTTTTTGTGGGAATATATATGTGTTTGTTTTTCGCCCCCCGTCTTGCTGCACCCCCTGGGGTGTGGTGCAGGGCGGGGGATGCCTGGTCGGCGGGAACCCGGCACGGAACCCTCCGGCGTTGTAGGCGGGTGTGGGAAGCGTTCCCCGTTCTCCTTTTATTTTATTTTGATCGGTCTCCTCGACGCTCTTTCTCGTTTGGTGCGGTAGCTGGTCTTTCTTTCTATCATTTTGTTTCTCTTCCGAGTGGTTTTTGTACCCTATTTTTTTTCTGTTTCTTCGTGGGGTCGTGTATGCCGGGTTTTGAGACCACGGGCTCCCAATCTTTCTTTTTTAGAGCTAATGTGAGAAACAACAACAAACCGGAATATCAAGTCTTTCTGTACTCTGAATAGTGCCGGTGCCCGGTATAGTGCCGCTTTGCTCTCTGAACACATACCGGCACTATAGAGGGCCCCCTACTGTATGTGACTACTCAGCGATCTGCAGAACCAACAGTCCCGCAATCCGAACTGTCCGATCAGTGTTCTACGTTACTCTGTCGACACACAGCAGTAACTATCACGAACACCCTCCCTTGGGGCTGTTGTCTCGACCAGACCAATTGTGTATCAGAAAAAAAAAAAACACAACTCAGACCTCTACTTCTCAGATCTCGAGGCTTGAGCAAAATTACGATGAACTTCAAAACGATCTCTCTGCAGAGCCTTCATCAGGATGTCCGCATGCTGTCCTTTGCTTGAGACATGCCTTATTTCCAACACTCCCTCCTCTGTCAAATTCCTAAGAAAGAAAGTGGTACCGCACGCCGTGCTTCCTGTTACACGAACTGAGTGGATTCTCAGCAAGTGCAATCGCACCCTCGTTGTCCTCTCATACCTGACTCTTTTCAATTTTATCACCACACCTCAAGAACTGAGCATTCCGTTGACAAACAGAGCCTCTTTTATACACCGTCACCCACGCAACATACTCTACTTCATTCAGTTGTTAAGTGTGACACATTTCTGCGTCCTAGAAATCCAAGCAACAAGGCAGTCAGCTACAAGAACTAGTGCTCCAGAAACTGATGTACGGTCAGTGGCCTTGCTGGCGAAGTCGGCGTCTACGTACACCAACGTGCCTACGTCTATCATAGTATCCTGCTTGTACTTCAAAGTTAGATGTGCCGTGCCCAGAAGATAATTTAGAACCTTCTGGGCCGCCTTCCAGTGGCTTTCTTTGGCTCATGAAAGTTCCTCGCCACCGCTCGCACAGCATTTGAGCTGTCGGGCCTCGTCTGGTTGGCGATCCACATCAGGCTCCCCACGACCTCTCGGAAGGGCACATCCCTGGCCGCCTCATCCTCCATCACGGACCTGTAATCACTAGCAGGGGAAGCAGGGATCGAGCTGGTGCAACAAACATTTAATCTCTCGAGAACACTCCCGATGTAACTCTCTTGGAAACCTCAATCGTGCCAGCCTCGCGGTCGAATAAATGCGCAACCAAGAAAGGCCTTGACCTCGCCCAAATTCTTCGTAGGAAAGGAGTCACCTAGCGCTTGCACAACTACCTTGGCAAGGCTCTCAATTTCTCCATGCAGAATGTCATCCACATGAATCGCGATCATACCCATCACATCGTTTCCCATCATAAAATGCAGAGCACAGGGGACAGATAGAGATTGTTCGACACCGATCCTCTTCAGGTCCGACACAGGTCTCTTGTGAAATGTTCTGCATACCTGCCTCAGCCAATACAAACTCTTGTCTAAACAGACTAACTTTCCTGACATTGACTCGCAGCCAGCCAGGAGGCAACTTCATGAACACCTCGTGATCCACTTCCGAGTGAACATAATTCCAAGTCGTACTTGCACGCCAATGCTACCAACCAAACGAATCGATGCAGCATTGCAGTAAGTAGGCGAGAAAGCCTGATATAATCCACGCCATGCTTCTGCTTGAAGCCCTTCGCTAAAAGCCTAGCCTTGGCCTTCACTATCTTGCCTGTACAATCCGCTTTCCCTTTTTTTGAAGACCCATCTATCTAGCATCTATCGCGTTACAGACTATTGGAGCCTTTACTGCCAACGCGGACGTTCCTGCTCTTCAAACTCTGCAGACATGGGCCTTGTCCCAAATCGTGGCGTACTTTGACTGGCGGGCTTCTTGATAGCTACCCGGTTCTGACAGTACGTCCTGATGAGTACTTTCGGCAATTCCATTGCATCAGATGCTCTCTGTTCCACTAAGAGTGCCTCTATTTTTTCTGATGATGCGGAGATGGGTCCTACAGTGGTCATGAGGCCGGATACGCTTTGCTGATTTACTGCCCGAGTTTGCGCACGGGTTCTGCCCTCCCTAATCGGTGAACTCGTCTGCTGGAGAAGACACAGGGGGAAGTGCGCTACTAGGGGAATTTATCGCGGACGAAGATGGCACAGAGGGGAGTTGACCTGCACCGCCTGCATCAACATTGCCAACCTCATCGATTGCTCCATCAGAGACCGCTACATCGCGATGCAAAGAATGTGGGGAACTCCTCTCCTTTCAAGCGGCCATACCTCGGCTTCTGCATCATCGTCACGTTCCTCCCCTCCCTCCTCTGCGACCCCAATTGTCGAGAGAGACGATTGCTGTGGAGGGAGTTGTGGCGGCAACGCTTCCCATGTCACATTCCTCGTTCCCTGAATAGTTCCAGCCCTCTTAAGAACTCTATGATGACAGTCATGCGGGTGGTCTCTCGAACGACCGATAAAGGGACCGACTTACATGAAAGCAAGCCGCACCCTTCGGTAGCAGCTTGGACGGGCGCTGCCACCTACAGTACTACGCCGGTTTCTAAACGGATGTAGTCTAGCATGACTAGCTAAACTATGCCACATCTCATACGGTGACTTACCGCCGGGGTTAGCGGAACAAGCTGTGTGGTTAATTGCTTCGCAAGCCCAGTGCATCGCCTCAGCCCAGAGTCTGTCAGTCTTAGGTAACTGCACGTGCCCAATCAAAACTTTCGCCTGACACGAGCAGCCATCGCCGCCGCCTCAAGTCAATCCAAACCACGCTCTGCAACACCTTTGTACTGGGCGGGGTGAACTTTTGCCTAATCACGAGCTCGTTGCACGCGGACGCACCCCCCATTGTCGGATCTAACAAACTCAACCAATGATGGGATACCATCAGCACGCGCACTTGCAAGGAAACTCCGGAAAGCATTCGCAGCATCTGATTTACTTGTCAGGAAATACATCCATGTACGTCTTGTGAAATCATCCTTAACGATCATGGGGTAATGAACCCCCTGCGGACGCAACGTCCTTCCGTCCTGCCAGGTCAACAAAAACTCTGCCTAACGTTTTTCCTGATCTGCATTTTATTAGTTTCATGACTTATCCCGTTTCTTGAATGACTTCGACATCGAACATCCCGTACAAGCATGCATTTCACCAGTCAACTCATTACCCAGTCGCTTTGCACTTGTACGAAGCAATCTCTCATGTGAATGACCACCAATGTCATGAAACTCGTTCACATCCATCTTCATTTCATGCTTGGGGTTTGAAAGAGTGGGGGCAGCCAACACCGAACCAACACATTCATTTTCCAGACCATACGCAGTCGCAATTAGTAGTCTATGCCATCGAAGCTCTGAATAATAACGTGTCCGTCGAAAGCAGTCATCACACCATCAGGGCCACCAAGCAAGGAAATTCCATGACTCTCCACCAATATCTGCGCTGTGAGAAACGAGCTTGTATCCAAATTGGGAGATTAGACTACAATACATTCTCCAAATCCACAGAAAACTCTAGGGTTCCAGACAGCGCTCTGGCTCAGGGGTAGAATGCGATTTTTGAACACTCGAAATGCCTTGCTCGGGGAACCTGCCTAGCCATGGTTTTGAGGGTCTTCGTCAAACACTCGAGAACAAAATCCACCATGCTACATATCTCAGTCTGGCACAGCACACCCATGTTGTATCCCTTCTCTACCATGGGGGTCTGATCGAATTCAATGCTTGCAATCGGAATCTCTACGTGTAGATCAGACACATGTGCCTCCTACAGATTGTTGTTGCGGGCACCCAGTAGAAACAATTGTGACCACTGAAGGATACGACACGTCCATCCCGTCAAAACAGAAGCTTTGGGAACTTTGGGAGGACTTCTACCCAGGGTTTCTCCCGCGTCAAAAAGGCCAGCCCCAGGAATAAGTGTGTTGCCACTGGCGGCATGTCCCCACCACTCACTTGATGGAGTAGATGGGGGCGGAATGGAAGACTGGCTGCCTAAAGCCCCACTACCAGTTCCAATCGAACAATAGCTTTCAGCACCAGCAGAGGGACGGTTTACAGCAGATGCATGAGGGTTCAAGCCTGAGTCTGCTGCAAGACTGTTACTCCCAACTCTCATGCTGGGCATGCCAAGGCCTTGGGCACTGCTGCCCGTACCTCCCGCAGTCCTGCCAGTAGCATCTGAAGGATGCCAAGCAACTGGCGTCGGTTGCGCCGCTGGCAGGAGTATCACCATCAGCAGAGGAACGACATACAACAATGGACGAAGGTTCAAGCCTGAGTCCGCGAGACTACTACTCCCGACCACATGCTGGACATGCCAAGACCTTGGGCACTACTGCCCTTACCTCCCGCAGTCCTGCCAGTGACATCCGATTGATGCTCACCAGCGTACTCTGTTCCGCCGCTTCCCGGCGCAGCAGCAGCAAATGAAACAGATGGCTCCACCTGCTCACCTCGTTGCTCGACAAGCGACTTGACTACTGTCGTGAGCTGGGACAACTGCATCTACAACGAAAACATCTCCTCACCAACATCCTGTGGATTACCCTGTGATAGGTTATCCGGAGAATCCCCACATGCACTCATGACGGGAACAGGTAGGTTGATCAGGCCTCCCCGGTACAGTCTCGCCGTCGTGCACTCCAAGGGGATGCGGTTCTCTCGACTGGCGACTGGCGTATAGCGTGTTCGAAACTCCGTGGCCTTCTGGGGTAACGATGTTGTATTGTTGAGACCCTTGGGTTGAGAGACAGGTTAGCAAGTGGAGGGGGCGAGGGTGGTGTTCGAGGTAGCGGCATGTGTATCGACAGAAGCGTAAACAGTCTGATTGGATAGTTTGAATGTCGGGACTGTCAAGCTGAAGGGTCGCTGTGTAGCCACATGTTATGAGAAAATAGTGGAAGGTTCTTGGTCCTTTCTCTCTGGCTGTAGGAATGTTCTTCGTGGATAGGACATTAGCCCGAGGATGTGTGATACGTAGGAAAGTGCATTGGTCCGTTCCATGCATCGGTCCGTGTTCGGTGAAGACTTTATGCGTGACCGGGCGGATGCCCAAGGGTGACGCTGCTGGGATGCTGTGCACCCACCCAGCTCACTCCACCTTTTGACCTGTTCTCCTGGTCCAAGGTCTCATCAATACAACATGTTTTCCCCAGAAGCCACGAGTTTACCAACACGCTGTAGCGCAATCAGTCGACTGCTGCTTGTCCCCTCGGACTGTACGTCAAGACTGCACGGAGGAAGATTGATCACCTTGCTTCGTGATGAGTGGGCCTGCTGGGGATCATGTGGATGACCCATCTCCGGGTGATTCGCAGGATGTTATTGGTGGTGAGAGATTGGATTCGATTGAGACACAGTTGTCCCAGCTCACAAGCATAGTCAAGTCGCTTGTTGGGCAACGAGGTGATCAGGTGGAGTCCTCTGTTGTGCTGTTGCGCCGGGAAGCGGCGGAACAGAGTACGGGGCTGGTGCGCATCAATCGGATGCAACCAGTGGGACTGCGGGAGGTACGGGGGGCGATGCCCCAGTCCTTGGCATGTCCAGTGATGGGGTTGGGAGTGGTAGTCCTGCAGGCGCAGGCTCAGGCTTGAACCCTAGTGCAACTGATGTCAATCGGGTTGGGAGTAGTGGTCTCTTAGACTCAGGCTCGTACCCTGATGCATGTACAGTACATCGTTCCTCTGTTGGTGCCGTAAACTTTGGTTCGATCGGAATTGGTAGTGANGCTGGTGCGCATCAATCGGATGCAACCAGTGGGACTGCGGGAGGTACGGGGGGCGATGCCCCAGTCCTTGGCATGTCCAGTGATGGGGTTGGGAGTGGTAGTCCTGCAGGCGCAGGCTCAGGCTTGAACCCTAGTGCAACTGATGTCAATCGGGTTGGGAGTAGTGGTCTCTTAGACTCAGGCTCGTACCCTGATGCATGTACAGTACATCGTTCCTCTGTTGGTGCCGTAAACTTTGGTTCGATCGGAATTGGTAGTGAGGCACCAGGTAGCCAGTCTTTCATTCCGCCCCCGTCTACTCCATCGAGTGAGTGGCGGGGACATGCCGCCAGTGGAAACACACTGATCCCTGAGGCCGGCATTTCAGCCACAGGAGAGAAGTTGGGTAGGAGTCCTTTTAAAGTTCCCAAAGCTCCTGTTTTCGACGGGACTGATGTCTCGTATCCGTTGTGGTCGCAGAACTTTTTGCTGAGTGTACGTCACAACAATCTGTCTGAACCGTTTGTGTCAATGCATGACATTCCGATTGCAGACATTGGATTCATTTGACCCCCTTGGTAGACAAAGGATACAGCGTAGGCGTGCTGCGCCAGGCAGAGATGGCATGGTGGTTTCTGTTTGACTGCCTGAAGAAAGACTCCCTCAAAACCATGGCTAGGCATGCTCGATCCCCCAGCAAGGCATTTCGAGTGTTGGATGATCGCTTTCTTCCTTTGAGTCAGAGTCAGATCCGTGTACAAGAAGATAAACTCAAGTCGCTGCGTATGCGTCCGAATGAGAACCCCTCAACCTTCTTCGCGTCTACAAGAGAGCCTCTTGGTGTTAAGCAGATGCTAGCAGTTAAGAAGGATGACAGGGAGGTGTGCACCCTGATGCTCGAGGGACTATCCCAAGAGTGTAAGACTTTGCGTGAGACTCTGGTAGTGTGTTGCCCAAACGACTGTGTTCATCGAGACGAAGTACGCGAGAGATACGTTGACTTGCAGATACAAGTGAATGTGAAGAAGCACAGTGTTGCTCTTGTGTCTAGGGGAGAAAATAAGAATAGCAAGAAATCAAACCACTCCAAGTCGAAAACTTACTCTGGATCTGATTCGTCCAAGAAGAAGTTCCAGGGGACGTGTTTCAAGTGTAGGGAGAAGGGCCACATGAGATCGGACTGCCTGGCTCGCGTGATCCCTCATCCTTCCCAGACTGGGAAATCCAAGGACGATGAGGATGGGAGCGGTGAGAATTCTAACTTTATGTTGCGAAGTCATGAAAGTTTTCGCATGCTACGAAATTATAAAAGGTTTCGACAATCGAAGTCTAGCTTCGTGATCCTATCTCATGACAATCTGCCAAAATCGTATGGTGCGCGTATGGAGGCATTTTACAACGAAGTGATGAGAGAGAACTCGCGTAGAGATGGTGCTTTTCGCAAATATTCTTCTATTGCTAGGAAGGACAGTCGCATCAGAGATTGGTATGCGGATACGGGTACAGCTTTCCACATGACAGACCGTCTCTCTTGCATGAAGAGTCTGAAGCCTTGCGATAAGAAGGTAGAAGGGATTGGTGGCTTCAGAGTTGGTATTTTTGAGTCCTGACAGCGAGTTTTCTGTCGAGTTGGAGAAAGAACCTATTGTACTCTCCCAATTTGGGATACAACCTCTTTTCTCCCACTGCAAAATTCGACGGTGAATCATGGAATTACCTTGGTGGTCCTGAAAGAGTGATGGCTTCTTTCAACGAACAAGTCACTTATCACGAATTCGATGGTATGCTGATTGCGACTGAGTATCGTCTCGAAGATAATTCAATTGGTTCGGTGTTGGCTTCCCTCACCTTCGAGCCCCAAGCATGAAACGAAGATGGATGTAAACGAGTTTCATAACATATATGCTCATTCCCATGAGGGATTGCTTCGTACAACTGCAAAGCGACTGGGTACTGAGTTGACTGGTGAATTGAATGCTTGCACGAGATGTTCGATATCGAAGGCATTCAGGAAAGGAATTGCTCGTGAAACTAAACGCAGATCAGACAAAAAGTTGAGCAAAGTTTTTGTTGACCCGGGAGGACGGAAGGACGTTGCGTCCGTAGGGGGTAGACATTACCCCATGATAGTGAAGGATGATTTCACTGGACGTACATGGCTGTATTTCCTGAGAAATAAATCAGACGCTGGGGGTGCTTTCAGAAGTTTCTTTGCTAAATAGTGTGCATGCATGCTGATGAAAACCTACCATCATTGGTTGAGATTGTTTGATCTGACAATGGGGGGGAGTTTTTCGGAGGGGAATTGGCGTCAGTGTGCGATGAGCTCTTGATTAAGCAAGAGTTCGCCCCGGCTTTCAGTCCACAATACAACGGTGTTGCAGAGCGTGGTTTGGGATTGATTGAGGCAGCTGTAATGGCGGCTCGTATTCAGGCGAACGCTTTGTTTGGGCATGTGCAGTTACCTAAGCCTGACAGACTCTGGGCTGAGGCCATGCACTGGGCTTGCGAAGCACTTAACCACACAGTTTGTTCCGCTAACCCAGACAGCAAGTCCCCGTATGAGATGTGGTATGGCGAAGCTAGTCCTGCTAGACCGTATCCGTTTTTGAAGCCGGCTTACTGTCGGTGGCAGCGACTGTCAAAGCTGCTGCCGAAGGGTGAGGCTTGCTTTTATGTCGGTCCTTCGAGATACCACCCGCGTGACTGTCATAGAGTATTTACGAGGGCAAGGACTGTTCAAGAAACGAGGGATGTGACATGGGAGGCATTGCCGTCAAAACTCCTTCCACCGCAACCATCTCTCTTGCCGATAGAGGTAGCAGGGAAGGGAGGGGAGGAAAGTGACGATGATGTAGAAGCCGAGGTATGGCCGCTTGTAGGAAGCGGAGTACCCCACATTCTTCTGCAACGTGATGAAGCGGTCTCTGACCGAGAAAACGATGAGGTTGGCAATGTTGATGCAGGCAGTGTAGGCCAATCCCCCTCTGTGCCATCTTCGCCCGCGATTAACTCCCCTAGTAGCGCAGCTCCCCCTGTGTCTTCTCCAGCAGACGAGTTCACCGATGAGGGAGTGCATGGAGGGCTGGAGACAAGGGAGGCAGAATCGGCGCGTCCGGGAGGGCAGGAGGTAGAGTCGGAGAGTCAGGAAGGGTTGGATGAAGAGTTGGTTGAGCCGGGAGGGCAGGAGGTAGAATCGGAGACACTTCCCCCTGCGACGCACGTACCATCTAATCGTCGTGCGCGGCGTGAGCTTGCTAGTAACAACACTGCTGCGAATCAGAATGATGAAGTTAGAGGTGGCAGAACCCGTGCGCATACTCGGGCCGTACACCAGCAGAGCGTATCCGGTCTCATGGCCACTTCAGGACCTATCTCCGCATCTGAAATTGTAGAAGCACGCTTAGTGGAGCAGAGAGCGTCTGATACTATGGAACTGCCGAGAGAGCTCATTCAGGCTGTAGAGACAGAGCCTGGTAGCTACCGAGAAGCCCGCCAGTCAAAGCATGCCGTGATTTGGGACAAAGCCACGTCTGCAGAGTTTGAAGGCTTGTTAAGAGCAGGAACGTTCGCGTTAGCAGTAAAGACCCCGATAGACTGTAACGTGATAGATGCTAGATGGGTCTACAAATGGGAAGCAGACGAAACAGGCAAGATAGTGAAGGCCAAGGCTAGGCTTGTAGCGAAGGGCTTCAAGCAGAAGCATGGTGTGGATTATCTTGAGACTTTCTCGCCTACTGCAAATGCTGCATCGATTCGTTTGCTGGTAGCATTGGCGTGCAAGTACAACTTGGAATTACTCCACTTTGACATTGAGCAAGCGTTTGTTCAGTCGGAATTGGATCATGAGGTGTTCATGAAGTTGCCTCCTGTCGTCCGTTTAACAAGAGTTTGGATGGACTGAGACAGGCATCTCGAACATTTCACAAGATATTAGTGTCGGACCTGAAGGCAATTGGTTTTGAGCAGTCTCTGTCTGACCCGTGTGTTCTCCGTTTCATAATGGGGGACGAAGTGATGGGTATGGTTGCGATTCATGTGGATGACGTTCTGTATGCAGGAATTAAGAGGCTTGCCAAGATGGTTGTGGAAGCGCTAGGTGACTCTTCCCACGAAAAATTTGGGCGAGGTCAAGTTTTTTCTTTGTTGCGCATTTAGTCCGACCGCGAGGCTGGCACGATTGAGATTTCTCAAGAGTAACATAAGGAGTGTTCTCGAGAGATTCAATATTTGTCGCACCAGCTCGATCCCCGCTTCCCCTGCTAACGCTTACGGGTCCGTGATGGAGGATGAGGAGGCAGGGGATATGCCGTTCCGAGAGGTGGTGGGAAGCCTGATGTGGATCGCCAACCAGACGAGGCCCGACATCTCAAATGCTGTGCGGGCAGTGGCGAGGCAATCTCATGAGCCAAAGAAAAGCCACTGGAAGGCGACCCAGAAGATTCTGAGTTTTCTTCTGGAGACGGCACATCAAGCTTTGAAGTACAAGCAGGATGATACGGTAGAAGTAGGCACGTTGGTGTACGTAGATGCTGACTTCGCTAGCAAGGCCACTGACCGTATATCAGTTTCGGGGGCATTACTTCTTGTAGCTGACTGTCTTGTTGCTTGGATTTCTAGGACGCAGAATTGTGTTTCATTGTCGACGTCTGAAGCAGAGTATATTGCGATGGGCGATGGTGTGAAGGAAACTCTGCTTGTGAACGGAATGCTAGAGTTCTTAAGGCCTAGTGAGAAACTTGGTAAGATTCAGGTACTTGAGGACAACGAGGGTGCGATTGCGCTTGCTGAGAACCCCCTTAGCTCGTGTAACAGTAAGCACATAGGCGTGAGGCACCATTTTCTTCGGAGTTTGACAGAGGAGGGAGTGTTGGCAGTCAGTTACGTTTCTCGCGAAGAACAGCATGCAAGAACAGCATGCAGACATCCTGACGAAGGCTTTGCCGAGAAACCTCTTTGAGGTTCATCGTGATTCTGTTCTGGGCTCGAGACCAAACAAGTAAGATAAGTAGAGGTCTGAGAAGCGTTTTGGTTTTCGATTTTTCTGATATATGTTTGGTCTGGTCGAGACAACAAGCCCCGAAGGAGGGTGTTCGAGGTAGCGGCATGTGTATCGACAGAAGCGTAAACAGTCTGATTGGATAGTTTGAATGTCGGGACTATCAAGCTGAAGAGTCGCTGTGTAGCCACATATTATGAGAATATAGTGGAATGTTCTTGGTCCTTTCTCTCTGGCTGTAGGAATGTTCTTCGTGGATAGGACATTAGCCCGAGGATGTGTGATACTTAGGAAAGTGCATTGGTCCGTTCCATGCATCGGTCCGTGTTCGGTGAAGACTTTATGCGTGACCGGGCGGATGCCCAAGGGTGATGCTGCTGGGATGCTGTGCACCCACTGTTCGTGCGTGGAGGTAGATTAGTCGGATTGTACCAAATCACTGGCGGTTTCGTGTACCGCAGATGGGATTGCCTTGAGGGGCGGCTAGGAGAGACCTTGAGATACGAGCTGCGGGCCCCCTTTTCGACTGGCTTTGGGCCTGGCACTCTTCCTCCCTCCTTCTCCCTCATGTCCCCCTACGATAATACATGCCGTTAACAACACTCTTTGGACTCTGGAGGTCACACAACAAGGGCATACCAACATTCTAGAATGCATCCTCCGGAGGAGCCCGATGATCTTCAGAGTTCAGCTGTGGTGAGAAGCAGCAGCAGGAGCGTTGTGCGTGATCCCGTGGTAAGGACATTACTGAGTGACACGACGCGCAAGTTTTGACTAGGGTTTCGAGTTGAGGCGAGAACCAGGGGTGTAGGAGATGATGGGCAGGCTGCCATCGCTTCTGCAGGCCAAGTCGGGTGGGCGAGGCCAGGATTAGTCGGGCCGTGCTGCGAGAGGCACGGCAGGTGCGGCGGGATTTGTGTGTTCCACCGAGCAGCCACCAAGAGCTGCGTGGTCGTCAGGGAGGGCGACACTGCGGGAGGAGAGAGCAGCAGTAGGCCGGACGTGGATGGCGCCCTGGTGCGGGCTGTTGAGGTCCCTGCTGAAGGTGTGTTTGGTGCATTCCAGTACACCAACTCTCTCCGTCTGTTGTAGAAGTTGTGGCAGAGCTGTTGCACAGCAGAGTTGCTACCGCTGGGGGCACTAGCGAAAGTGTCCCAGCGACCGACTTATCCACTCAGGAGGGGTCGGACGAAGTTAGGCGGCGCCAAGAGGATGCTGTCGACGGTGGGGATGCTGTGTAGTGCATGTCCACCAGGAGTCCCAACGGGGGCTCCATAGAGCGGGAGCACGGAGGCTGCCGCTCGCCCGCAGGTGCGGGTCGTGGGAGCAGAGGAGAGTATCCGCTACTCCCGAGCCGGTTGCTATATCGGTTTGTCCCCATTAAAAGGGCGTGTAGGAGGGGGCACGCGGAGGCGGTGGAGTTCTGCCGCCTGCACCCCAGCAGCATGGAAGGAACACAAGACCGGGAGATGGCCTGGAGGTATACAACACCAATGTCTGCTGGGGCGGGTCTGGAGACAAGGCCGGAGCGGGAATGCCCGCGGGTTGTACCCGCAAGGTATGTGGCCCGCGAACACGGGTGGAGAACACTCGTGTACACTTGAGAGTAGTGTGTGCTCTCTTGTGTTTATCCCCATTAAGGAGCGTGTAGGAGGGGGCACGCGAACCCAACCCGTCGTGTGTGCGGGGAAGGGTACCAGAAAAATCTTGCTGGCCCCGATGGATATGCGGGGAGAGAAGTGCTTCCTGGCCCCGATGGATAGGCGGGGTATCACGGGAGTTGTGTGAGAAGTGCTGGAGTATTTGGCCACACCCAGCAGCACGGCAGTGGCCGTGGCTGCCTTCTACCAAGAGCGGGAAGGGGGCAGCGAACATCAAGGCGCGTGGGGTACCGCGTGCACTCTACATCATCAGCTGGCGGGGCCCGGAAATACGTAGCTGTGGGATGGTGGAGTTCAAAGACACGAGAAAGCCGTCGTGTGCCTGTCTGCTACACCGCTACACCGAGGAACGTCGGGACGCCGAGGGACGTCGGGTGTGGGCGGGTGGGGAGGGAAGCAAAACGGACCAGCCGCGCGGTGGATTTCCGCGGGCACTATCTTCATTTTGGTTGGTACCGGAATGTGTTTTTTTTTGTTTTTGTTTTTTTTCTGATTCTTTTGTATGTGGCGTTTAGCAGTAAAGGGCGATAACTTGTATTGCACGTGAATAGTCGCAAGTGAGGCGCTGTTGCGGACTTGCATAGATCGCTGTTAATTGCTTGTTGATATCCATGGGTGTTTCCGCCGCCACATGCTCGAGTTTCACGCGTCACCGCTTGTTTTGTGTTCCCTGTGTGGCCTGTGTGGTTGCAGAATAAGGGAGGGTGGCGCCGTGCGTGGGTTTTTTGTTTTGGAGAGTGTAATGCTCGGAAAGTTTTGCGCCCGGCCTGTAGATATTCTGCAATGTGACAGAGCTATGGTCGTCCACTCAGGTCGTCCACTCATGATTGAGGTGGAAGTATTCCGGTCTTGCAGTTATTGGATGACGGAGGGCGTTGCCTCTTGGGTGTTGTTGGACTCTATTTACGGGAGGAGTTTGGTCGTGTTTCCACGATGTTGCATGTACCATGTGTCTGATTTGTTGATTGAATGCTGGACGATCGCCACGTGTATGTGCTTCTAGGCAACCAAGTGACTGAGTAGTCTGGTGAATAAGACCATGTAACGAGTAAGGATACGCCGGGAGTTCGAATCTCACCAGGCGTCGCCTTTGTTCAAGGAATGAAGAAAGGAAAGCGCCTTTCCGAGAAGGGGAAAGCGACGCGCGTTGTTTGGCACACTAGAGAGGGCGTATGAAGTCGTCCCCAACTACCAGGTATGTGTTGCGTAAGGAAGGGCATACGGCGTGTAGACTATCAGTGTTATTCGAGGAGCGGACAATCGATATCAGGTGCATTGTAGGTGGCTATTTTGGCCAAGTTTGTCGACCTCACCACAAGGGTAGGGGCGTGGTTGATGATTTGTTTTTGTGCTGCGCAGGGAGGACCTTGTCGAGTCAGCCGAGCGTGGCGTAGAGAGCGAGCCGGGGGCGGTGGTAGATATTGTCTTGCCTTGATGTTGCAGTACGGCCGTTGGAATCTTTCGTGATATGAACGGCGTGAAGGCCTTGAGGTTTGTAAGGGGTTTTGATCCGATGGCGGGTTTCCCCTTGTTTCTGATTTGCGTTGTTTTAGGTGCTTTTCGGATGTACTCTTCGACGCACGAGTGGTGGTTATTCACTGGCGTAAAGAACCAAGGGAGGGTGTTCGTGCGTGGAGGTAGATTAGTCGGATTGTACCAAATCACTGGCGGTTTCGTGTACCGCAGATGGGATTGCCTTGAGGGGCGGCTAGGAGAGACGTTGAGATACGAGTTGCGGGCCCCCTTTCCGACTGGCTTTGGGTCTGGCACTCTTCCTCCCTCCTTCTCCCTTATGTCCCCCTACGATGATACATGCCGTTAACAACACTCTTTGGACTCTGGAGGTCACACAACAAGGGCATACCAACACCCACCCAGCTCACTCCACGTTTTGACCTGTTCTCCTGGTCCAAGGTCTCATCAATGCAACATAATTTCCCCAGAAGCCACGAGTTTACCAACAGGTGGGGTGAGCACCGCAGCACCGCAGCACCATCCATGTCGCTTGACCAACGCACACAACCGGAACACAATAATATCGGAACACAAAGCTTGAAAAGGGGCTAACGAACGTACTTCACAACGTACCATGAATCCTCTGGCTGATGCACTATCCACAAAGACCACGCTCGAAACAATGCAGCATCCACGAAGAATATTCCTACATAACGTTCCTCGCTTTCCCCTGTCGCCCCGGTGGTCTAGTTGGTAACCTCGAAACCTTCTAGATAGAGGTTAGGTCAGGGGTTCGAATCCCGGCGTAAGCGAGCTAGTCTATTCTTGCAAAGTGAGTTTTTCTCTCGCTTCCGCTCCTAGTCTAGTGGATAGCGCTAGACTAGTTCGTGTGTACACAGAGGGAAGAGAGTGCTGAACTCTTCTCGCATTAAAAGTGGAAGGCAAAGTACCGCAGGAGGGGAGGGTAGAGAGGAGCTCTTCTGTGTGACCACGGGACGGAGTAAACGGGACTAGTGCCGTGAGCGCTGATTTGAAGTGAAGAAAAAAGAAAAAAGAAAAATAATATGTGGCTACTCAGCGATCTGCCGAACCGACAGTTCCGCAATCCGAACTGACCAATCAGTGTTTTACGTTACTCTCTGTCTACACACAGCATCAACTATCACGAACATCCTCCCTTGTAAACGCTGCAGCGGCGCTCATGGCCGCGTGGCGTGTCCTTCCTTTGGGTGCGGCATATCAGAGGAAAGACCCATCTCCGGTGGTGGCTGATGCTAAGGTGGCAGGCACCGTACGCGACACAAGCTAACACACCTCTGGACCGATATTTTTCAAGCTCGAATACTCCACAGTATATACTGCAAGAGTGCCAAAGTGGCGGGGTTGAAACCGTTTCGTTCAGATCTCTCCAAAAACATATCGTTTGACTTTTGGCATCCTCTTCGCGTCGTGTAGCAATTGAGCTTTGTGTTAGTGTACCTTGTATGTGTGTTGACGATGATGGTATCACTTGTATTTAGGACCGACCTCAAACACGAACAGGACGCGGCAGGAAAGAGAGAGAGCCACGACACAGCAAGCACTCCCGCAGGTCCGAGCCCCGTGGATCAACCATGAAACCAACCCAGGGGACTATCAATTCCAATCTGCGTAGCCACTTCCTGCAGTCCCGTTCGAATATTCTCATCCGCTCATGCACACACGAACACCCTCCCTGGTTCTCTACGCTAGTAACTAACCACTAGGTCTAGTGGACATGCACACGCCGGATGTGACCAAAAAACCAAACGGGCGAAAACCAACGCGAAAAAAACAACAGGGGGAAACCCGGCCTCCGGGTCTACACCCCCGCCAATATTCACCGTTCCATCAGACGCCCTATCCCCACTCTTGGCGAGCAATATTAGTGTAAAACTATCCTGAGAGGTTGGTTCAAACAGCTACGATGCGGCTGCACTACTGTCTGTTCTTCAAACAATCATCAGACAAACATCGAAATCACCCCCCCTCGCTGACGTAACACAGAGCACCGCGGCATAAGGCAATCATCCAACATTTTCTGAGCGACGCATAACCGACATGCATTTTACGACAATGCTCTGTGCTCGTGGACGTTCAATAATGGTGCCCCAATTTCTTTCTCATACGTTCCTTCAGCGGTTCCAACAGTATCCCATCTTCCTGCACATTTTGCAACCTAGAGAACTGCACCACATAGCCACAATCAATGAGTGTCTCAACCGAATGACTACCAGGAAGTACTAAACATGTGGACGCGAACGCCTACGAGAACACGGAACACCTTCTGTGGCTCTTCAACAAAAGTGTAGTCATGATAACTAACGAGGATTTTCCCCTCCTAGCGCTCGTCCCGGCCTGTAGCCTCGCTAGAAAAGGAGTTCCCGTTATAGCCCACGATGCAAGTACCCCCCCCCCCC